GTTAAGATACAATCCGTATTGAAGGCTGTAGTCTTTGATCTGCAACAAGCATTTCAGGTCCCCCTTTGCTCTCAGCAGGAAAGGTTGTGCCATCTGCATAACACAAGTTGTTGATGAGTTTTCCTTCAATTCTGTTGCTATATTCTTCTTTATATAGCCAGGTTTCATGAATTATATGCTCAGCAAACAGATTAAACATGTATGGAGAGGATATACTCCTAATGCAAACCATACCCAATTTTAAACCACACAGGTGTTCCCTTGTTCTGTTCAGATAACAGCTACTTGGTCTAGGTATAGGTTTCACATGAGCACAATTAAATGTTCTGGGATTCTCATTTTTCTCAATGTTAGACATAGTTTGTTGTGATCCATACAGTCAAGTGCCTTTGTACAGTCAATACAGATAGACATTCTTCTGATATTCTCTGCTTTCAGCCAGCATCCATCAGCAATGATATCCCTGTCTGAATATCATTAGTACTCTTTTGTCCTTTTGAACAACAGCTTCTTGGTCTATGTATAGACATGAAATCCTAGAATGTTGTTATGTATCATAGAGTTGAACCCACCCATAGCTGACCCTCAGACAGGTTTTTAGAGGAAGTTAATTGCATAGGATTAGACTGCCATGCTTCTCCCATGGAGCAGCTGGTGGTCTCAAACAGTTTGCCTTTGAGATTGCAGCACAGCTTCTTGGCACTAGGCCACCAGAACTCCCTAAATAATTACATACAGTATAAATAATAAATACGGAGTCTTCAGGTTTTTTTTCTATTGTACAGTCTTTATACAACAAAAAAAACTACCTCATGCTTATGTGAAATGATTTTGTTTATTCTCTTCTTATTAATTCATGACTCTAGGCCTGAATAACTGATGATGTAGTGTGGTGGAAAGGTGACCTTTTGCAATAACCATTTAACATCTTTGGAAATGCTAGCACCAGGAGAGTCTGCCAGGATGCAGACTACTGGTTTTGATAGAGTCAGGCTTTTGAAATGGTAATTAGCAACATCAGCAACACTTCATACCCAGATACTGCAAACCAAGGAAGGCCTGATAGAGCAGGTAATTCAAGAGCACATAGATAGAGAACCAACAATTTCTCCCTTCTCATCAGAAGCACTGTTCTTTATCATTAGGAATAGACCAGAATAGTTATGTTTCCTTGTGCTGTCACACTGAAAAGCCAAACATAAATAAACATGATTTTAACATTTACCTTACCATGTGGCAGCAATGATTTCACTGTTAATTACATGTACATTCATTACAGAAATTTACATCTTTGTTGAAGCTGATGGATCCAAAATGCCTGCCTTTGGGTTGGTAGTGCAACTCCTTACCCACTAGGGAAACCGGATGAATTGATTATGGAAATGGAAATATCCTAACTAAAAGTTATGCTCTTAACTAAAAGAACAATACATAGCCTACACAGCTAAAAGGCCCATGCTAATTTCTTGTTTGTTTTTTTTAAAAAAAAAAATAACTTTGAAAACACCTTTTTCCATAAAGTAAGTTGATAATATTTTAGACATTAAAAAAAAAGACACTAAATTCAAGAGACGAGGTTTTAAGCAAAGGTTAGTCAGTCAAGGGACAAAGGATTTACCACTCAGTTATTCTTGGGGAGCTAATTCAATCATAAGTAAGCTAATTCATTCAAGTATATTAATACTCAACAAACTGGCCCCATTACCAACATTAATACTTAACATTAAGTAGCACTAAGAAGCACAGAAGCTTTGGTGGATTACTGGTAAGGAGTTGTGCTGCCACCTGAAGGCAAGTAGTCTAAATCCACCAGCTGTTCCAAGGAAGGATGGGCAATCTCCTCTTGTGCAGTGTACAGCTTCTGAAATTTCACTGAAGAGCCATTTCTGATTCAATGACACGTAACAACAAGCAGCACAGAATAATAGAGGATATATCTGAAAAGTTGAGTTTGGAATTCAAATGATTGCTATTTAATCCTTGAGAAAAAGTGCGGTTAGCTGTCTTTTGGGAAGATATTCATAGCATGCAAGTAGGCCATGCTCCATAGGGCCTTCCTTTTGGAAGCAACTAAAAGCCTCTCTTCCAAAGTGTCTTTGGATGGGCTAAACTATCAAATCTTTTGACTTTTAACCATTTATGTTACCTAGGACAAGAAGAAAAAAAGAAATGAATCCTTGAGTCCTTCAGAAGAAATCCTTCACAGAATTTTAATAGAAAACAGTCTGATTTTCCAGAGAAAAAGAAATATAACAATAATTGTGAAGTGGAATCTGAGGTTGGGTAATGTAAGGTAGAATCACTTCACATCTTTTTCACCTCTGATGAGTTTCATTTTAATTCTTTACACTCAGAACTAAAGGTTCATAGTTTATCATAAGTTTCCCTTGAATATCAAGAAACAAGGCCATTTAAAATAGCAGTTCAGTTGTTGGCTTTAGATTAAAGGGTGGTTCCTTTTTGTAAGTGTAACTAAGCCATTTATTGCTGCATCTCTGTCTTTATTTCTGTACATGTGATGATATTAAAATATCTATTACTCTCCCGGAGTGCAACCAAAACCATCCAGAAGAAAATGTACTCATGTCCTTTCTGTAGAGGGAACCTGGTTTTGGACACCTATTACCATGACCAAAATTTAGAAAATGCACACAAAATAGCTAATGTTTGGAAATATCTGTAACTATAAAAAAAAACATAAGAAGAACTGAATGACCAGGAAGAGATAATGGTTAAGTTTGAAAAGTGAAAAAAAAAAAGAAAAAGAAAAGAAAACCCATTCCCACATATAGTTGCTAATCTTAACATAAAATGCTTTGTGAGAGGAAGCATGTATGATTAATACAAGGTTATCTGATTTGTTGTTATTGTTAGGTGTTTGCTACAACTCCAACTGGAGTTCAGCTGTTGAATATTGTGTTTACAGAATAGAATTCAAAGTACCTATGGAGTTGCACTGCCAGCCCAAAGTCAGGCAGTTCAAATCCATTAGCTGCTCTGTGGCAGAGAGATGAGCAGTCTTCTCCTATGTGATTTACAGTCTCCGAAAAACCTACTAGAGTGTCATCTGTGAATAGGTACCAATTCAATGGTACTCAACAAAACAAACTGTGAACTTGAAACATAAATCATAGGGACATAAACAGAGACTTTGCTTGAAAATGCATTTTTTTTTAAAAAAATTGATGAATCACAATTTATTATTCTTTTTTTAATACTAGCTATTTACAATGTATTTTAAGGATGTGTCATCTTTGAATTTGGCTCAAAGCTACAAAAGAAAACAACTTCTAACAAAGCAACTTGAATATAAATGATGGTGAAAATATTTGTTCAAAGTATACAATTTATCATCCTAAGTATCTTGCAAAGGAACGAAGTGTCTTAAATTGTAAGCAGGATAATGGATAAATGACTACTAAGTGAATGAGCGAGTGAAATGAGAAAACTTCCATACTTCCTCCAAATAGTAGAGTACAACCTGTCAAGGCATATTGGGCTAAAGTTGGGATTTGCTACTCCTTTTCTTCCTCTTTGCTTCCCCACCCATTTGGCTTTTTATTTAAAACTGAAAAGTCCTGGTGGCATAGTGGGCGGCTAACCAAAAACTCAGTTCAAATCTACCACCTACTTTAAGGGAGAAAAATGGGCAGCTTCCTCCTTTAAAGATTTCATCTTGGAAACTCTAAGGAGGGTAACATGGATTGGAACCAGTTGGAGAGAATTTTGGTTCCATTTTAGAGGTATTCTAGCCATTCTAGGTATTCCATCCTATTCTTTCAACATTTCATGAGCTATAACTAGGAGTAGGCAAAATGTAGTGAATAAGCTATATTTTGATGAATTAAAAGACAAACTTGAGGAAGGTTATCACTGGAATTTTTTTAACTTAAGAGCTGATAGGGGATTAGGTGAAGAGGAGGTGGAGAAGGCAGAGGAGATATTGTTATTTTAAAATTAATCCTTTACAAGACTTTTAAAGCATCATTTATGTACTGAGTGTCTAGTGTCATAATCTATAGTGAGTTATGTTGCTAAACAAAGGTCCTGCCTTTCTTCGATCTTCCATCCACCAGTGGTGGCTATCAGAGAGAAAGATGTGCCTTCCTGTGTTTATAGCCTCTGAAAATCTGCTGGAGGATTCTGACTCAATGGCAATGAACTGAAAAGTTATACTGTACCAAGTGCTACTTCTATTCTTTAGTTAGGTTGTACTGAAAGCATCTTTTCTTCTGAAAACTTTTCATGGTTCTGAAAGCATATGGACAAGGGACAGGTCTTTGAATTTAACCAGCTTTGGAGAAGCAGGCTTATTTATAGATTTATTAATTAAAATCTACTGGTTTTCAATTTTCCAAATCATAAAACAAAGTTGACAGAATCTGAGCACTGTACACAGCATGGGTTATACTGCCAGACTCAACAGGCTGAACTAATCACATGGCCCCAACAGGTATGCTTCTGAGGGGCCACAAACAGGTTATGTCGTCTGTTTCCTCATCTGAAAAAGAAGTTGCTGAAAAGATTAAATGACAGTGTATGTCAGCTATCTGCACACAGAAAAGTACTCAATAAAAAGCCTCTAGTAGGTGGGAGTACTGGCTTCCTTTCAGTGTATTCTCACATCTCATTGCCATCAAGTTGGTTCTGATACACAGCTGATATATAGAAACATAGGGTTTCTAAGGCTTTGAATTATAGAGAAGAGACTCTGGTGTATTCAAACTGCTAATGTTGGACACTCAAGGCCTTTCAGTTGGTCATGGGCATAACTAGTTACAGATTATGACACTGGAATTCCCTTCCTTTTGGTGTAACAAACATAAAAGTTCATTCCTTAAAGGTAAAAATATCAAAGGGAAGACAAAGTAAACAGATTTTTGATTATAGAACTACTGTTAGGTGTCTGTGTAGGCATATTTATTCCTTAGCAGAAACTATTATCCAAAAATATATAAAACCAGAAAAGAATAAAGTAGTTTGGTATACTTTTAACATACCATTGCCGAGAGTCCAAATTTTTTAACTCTCTTAATAATTTTGAATTTTTCTTCAACAGATGAAAGTTCTTTCTACAAAGAAATAAAACATAGAGAAAATAAAGAGAAAAATCATGCAACCAAAGGTAAATCTTACTTCTTTTCAATCAATGAACAAATCTATACAAGTAGGTTATCATCCATCTATTCATACATCATTCACTAAAGATTTGTGATATTAATAGAAGCCTTCAGAGCAAATTCTACTTTAAATTTTGATTCAAATGCATCAAAATTCCATTGCACCAAGACACTAAAGAGTATGTGGTTCGTGGCACTACCGAACCATCTGTGGGACTCAGGAGCCTGAATGCTGCAAAGTGCCTGGATGGCGCTGGGCTCCGTGGCCAGCCTCGCTGCCTTCCATTGGGACCAGCATCACCGGCAAGAGCTGAATAGCCGAGTGACCTCCCATTAGGAACGTCCACAAAAGCTTCGTGGACTGAACGAGAAAGGGCTTGAAATGCATCTTTCCCAGATAAACATTTGCCTCTTTGAAACTGTTTTTCCTGGGAGTGAGGGTCAGGTGCGGTGTAGCGAGGAGAATGTTCAATAATCAGTGAATGGAAATCCAAGTTTTCTGTAAACTTCCATTAAACTATGAAAAAAAAACCAACAATAACAAGAAAGAAAAAGAGTATGTGGTCAATGAATACATGACTATCAGCTCTGCTATAAACTATTACCTCCACTCTAGCTCAAATCACTCTCTTCGAAGTTTTCAGCTTTGCCTTGCAACTTCCCACTTCATTGAGTATTTTCTTGTGTGGCGTATGTGTCACTTTATTCCTTAAAAGTTCTATCAAAATCTCCCACCTCCATTTGATTTAAACTGAGAGTGTGGTTCATTAATCTGTGTACTTCAATAGTACCTTGCAAGAAGGCAGAATATAGATGAAGTAGGATTATTAAGGAAAAACTAACAAGTATGTAAAATACCTGAAACCCTTTAGAATACACAACAGATGTTTGAAATAAAACTTGTACATCTGTGGAGTATCAGCAGCATTCTTATGGTTAACTTAGTAGCAAAAAACAGCTGTAAATGCTGAAATAGAGAAGTATCTCTCATTTCCATTCATTACAAATTGGTAAAAAGACAATAACATGGAAACAAGAATAAATGGAAGTCTAGAGTAAATTGTTACCTTCTATCCCAAGAATTCATTCCTAGGTCATTGAGCAGTAACCTACAGAAATAGAAGGGTCCTTGTGGCTCTACAGGTGAGGGATGATCCTGACTAGTGACTGTGACAGCAGAGTCAGAGGCAGAAGTTTGAACATGCTCATATTCTTGTGCATCCTGATGCAGGAGGATCTTGATGATCTCCTTCTCTTGGTCCTGGCTCATTCCACGTGGAGGTGGAGAAGGTTCATTTAGCTTTAGCTGTGATGGTAGAAGGCACTCAGGACTTGTATGGCCAATGTTTTCAAGTAATTTGTCAAGGATATCCTCCCCTTCTTCAATCTGAGAAAAGGTTTTCTGAGGTTCTAACATTTGATGATGCCAGCTTGAAATGAGAAATGAAGGATTTCTTCCACTGGGTGTGAAGTAGCCTTCCAAAGGTCCATACAGAATTTTACCATCCCACGAGTACTTCCCTGAGATATCTCTCATAATCACTCTCACATCAGAGAGGGCACCCACAAGTGGATTGCCTGCTGGCCTCTCTGTAGGCATTTGAAGGTAAGATATGAGGGTGCTGTCATTAAATACGAACAGTTGCAGGTTTGGGCTCCTGAACACATCAGAGGAGAGCTCAGAAGATTCCACGTGGGTGTTGTCATGGTTCTCACTGACCAGGCTGTGCAGCATGGCAGGGCCTCCACTGAGCGGATAGTGCCCCAAGTGATTCACCAAGTGGGTCATCACCATCCGAGCAGTAAGAGGAATCAGTTCCAAACTTCTTCGCTTCTTTTCTGCAACCATCAATAAAGAAAATGAAAGACAGTGGTAAATTAAACTTTAAAAGGACAACAGATTTCAATCTGTACTTGAGGACAATCTCCTCCCATGTGACTTACTGCCTCTGAAAAGCCATGGGAGGGTCCAGCTACACACCAGTTCCAACTCAATGGCAGATACAACATATTTCAACCGGTACTTAGAATAGTTTTGGTGGGTTGTTTTGGGTTTTTTTTCAAGTCTTGGAGTTTTTTTCAAGCTACTTCCTTTATTGTTTGAATTTAAATAGATTGTTTAAAGACCCAACTTACAGGAATATTTCATCCTAAAGAGATATTAAAAATACATAGGTACAATAATAAACAAAAGATAAACATTTCTGTTCTTCAAGAGTGTGAAGTCAGGTCAGCGTTCAACAGTTGAACAGGATGACAAGATGAAAGCCCGAGTGGGCAGAGTGGGCCAAAGAAGTAGCTTCCTCTACTTGAGTAAAGAAACACACTTGATGTGAACTTTAATCACATTTGTAATGGCTTAAATATATTTGAAGTGATTAGCTAGAAAGTAATTTTGACAATATAGGTTTTGCTTTTACTTTTTTTTTTTTTACGTCTCTAAGATTTTTAAATCTCTTGATTGTGCTAATGCAGAACTAAACTTGGACCAAGAGGCAGTTGTCAGAACAGAGCATGGAAACACTGCATGGTTCAAAATTGGGAAGGGTGTACGCCAGGGATGTGTCCTGTCTCCATACCTCTTCAACCTGTATACAGAACAGATTATCGGGGAGGCTGGGCTCTATGAGGAAAAAGGTGGGGTCAGGATTGGTGGAAGATCTATCAACAATCTGTGTTATGCAGTTGACACAACCCTGCTTGCTGAAACTGAGGAGGACCTGAAGCGCTTGCTGCAGAGGATCAAGGACTGAAGCCTTCAATACGGATTAAGGCTCAATACCAAGAAAACAAAAATTCTCACCACTTAAACAATTGGTAGCATCAGGATGTGTGGTGAAGAGATTGAGATTGTTCACAGCTTTAGTTTGCTTGGCTCTACAGTCAACACACTTGGTACCAGTAACCAGGAAATTAAAAGATGTATTGCGATGAAAAGTCTGTTGTTAGGGTCCTTTCCAAAGTTCTGAAGAGCAATGGTGTCTCTCTGGAGACTACAGGCCATGGTCTTTGCAATCACTTGTTATGCATCAGAGAGTTGGACAATGACTAGGGAGGATAGAAGAAGAATTGATGCCTTTGAGCTGTGGTACTGGAGAAGAGTATTGAGGGTACCATGGACTGCTACGAAAAGAAACAGATCCATCCTGCAAAGGGTTAAACTGGGCTGCTCCTTGGAGGAAAGGATTCTGAGGCTTCATCTAACATACTTTGGACATGCTGTAAGGAGGGACTGGTCCTTGGAGAGGGGCATCATGCTTGGTAGGGTGGAGGGACAGTCCAGAAGGGGAAGGCCCTCTATGAGGTAGAATGATTCAGTGACTGGGGTAATTGGGATGGGTGTGTCGGAGACAGTGTGATTGGCACAGGACAGAGCAGAGTTTAGGGCCATTGTACATAGGGTCGCTATGAGTTGCTAATGACTCGAAGGCACAAAACAACAACAAGATTTTAAAAAAATTTTCACATAAAATCCTTCCCATTTCCTTCATCTCACACATCCACTGTTTTGTGCAACCCTATGATTAACACCCTACACCCTCTTCACACCCCTATTTCCATCCTCCTCTCTGCCTTGAACCCTCATATTAATTTTACAATAATGGTTTATATACAGTATTTGTCCTTGTGGGATTGTTATTTCACTCAACATAATACTCACCAGTCCCTCCCAAGTGAGGTAATAATTTACAAAATCATTGCTCCTGTATCCTGTGTAATATTCCATTGTATGAATGTACCACAACTACTGAATCTATTCATTTGTAGTTGCACATCTGGGCTGCTTCCATGTTCTTATGATGATGAATAACACTTCTATGAACACTGGTGTACAAGTTTCTATTTGAACCTCAGTTCTCATCTTCTCAGGAAAATACTGAGATGGTTGTATATATGTAGTAGGTAATTTAATGTTCAAGGATTTTAAAATATAGAATGTACAGAAAAACCTTGATAACCAGTATGTGTCAGTCTCTATTTAGACTTGAGATCTCTATTTGAGATAAATATAGAACTAGAGATGAAATGTCTAGAAAAATGTATAGGTGATTTTTAAAACATTAGGTTTCAAGGTTTTTAAAATTTCTTTTATGTTGATGTGCATACAAAATTTTTAAACTTTGTGTTTCACACTATCCTTCATTCATATTGTATTTCTTATAATCATTCCCACTCTGTTTCATATAAAATCAATCACTACTGAATGATGCCCACAACTTCCTGTAATTTCCGATCTCTGTCAGATCTTTCCCATTTCCTTCACCCCTTCCCTCCACTTGTGGAAGGGAGGAGGTGTTATTGTGTGACCTCATGATTTCTTCCCTGACCATCCTCATCATTGTTCCCACACATGTCCCCACTGACCCTCATGCAGGTTTTACTAGTTTTTCTTCTATATTGACAATAATGGTCTTATGTAGTTATGTAGTAATTTTTGAAATGCTAGCTCCTAAGTGCTGAATAATATTCCACTGGGTGAATGTACAACAATTTGTCAACACATTAGATTGTGGCTGAACACTTGGGCTGTTGCTATGGTTTTGTGATTGTGAATAATGCTGCTACGAACATTAGTGCACACATTTTGTTTGTGTCTCAGTTATAATTTACTTGGAGTATATTTCTAGCACAGATTCATCCTAGAGAGGGTTAAACTAGGCTGTTCCTTGGAGGCAAGAATTCTGGGGCTTCGCCTGACATGCTTTGGACATGTTGTAAGGAGAGACAGGTCTTTAGAGAGGCACATCATGCTGGGCAAAGTGGAGGGACAGCGCAGGTGGGGAAGATCCTCTATAGGTGGATTGATTCAGTGACTGGGGTAATCGGGATGGGTGTGTCAGAGGCAATGAGATTGGCACAGAATAGAGCAGAGTTTAGGGCTGTTGTACATAGGGTCGCTAGGAGTAGCAAACGACTTGACGGCACATAACAACAACAATATATTTCTAGTGGTGGAATAGCTTGGTCATGTAGAATATCTATATTCAGCTTGTTGAGGAAATGCCAAACTGCCTTCCAGAGTGGTTTTAACATGTTACAAACCCATCAACAGTGTACAAGAGTTCCTATCTCTCCACATTCTCTCTAACATTTATTATTTTCAGTCATGTTAAACTTTGCCACTGCTCCTGGAGATAGTATCTCAATGGGGTTTTGATTTGCATCTCTTTTATTGCCAATGATTTTGAGTACTTCTTCATATGTTTGTTGACTATCCAAATGTCTTTCTCTATGAAAAGTTATTCCATGTCTTTTGCCCAATTTGTAATTGGGTTATCAGGTTTTTTCCTTGTGGAGGTCAAATAGGACTCTATATTTTTATCAGACCTTTCTCTGTGATGGTATTGCAAAACGTTTATGCTACAGTCAGTAGGATTTCTCCTCATACTATTGGAGAAAGGGTTTTTTTAAACAAATATTTCTATTGGAGATTCAAGATGGCGGCAGAGGCAGAGACAGCGTGGTGAGCTGCGGGAGCAGCGAACCACTTAAAGCAGGGCCATTATGGCCTTCCACAGACTTTGGCTTATTGATAACTGAACAGTTAAACAGTTGATGACTGGCCCTCAGTGAAGATCGAGGCTCAACAACAGGAATTCAAGGATTCCCAAGGAGAAATGGGTGAGTCTCGTGGCTCCCAACCCAGCCCCTGTAGAGCCCTCGCTGCGCCGCACATCCACTGCAGCTCCATGAGGCTTCCGCAGCCGGAATGAATGGATTCCCTCACCCAGGATGGATGCTGGGCATCGGCCCTCCTCAAGGCTGGTACAGTGAAGCCACCACACTGCCGCAAGGTGGACTTGGTCTGGAGAGAATTCTTGGAGCCAGGATGGTGGCTGAGAGGGAAGCAGGCGCCCTCCGGCTGCCCGCACAAGAGGGGCCGCACACGAGCCGAGCGCCTGTGCAGTGGGGTAGGGGGGGTGTGCCCCAAACGGCCGCCTGTGCTGGGGGGGGCCGCGTGCCTCCTGCAGGCCTCCTGCGCTGGGGGGGGGTGCGCGCCCCACTGGCCTCCTGTGTAGGAGGTGGGGGATGGGATGCATGGCCGCCATCTGCAGGTTTGGGTCTCCTTGGACAGGCCAAAGAAGATGATTACCTATGCATTGGACAGGCCAAAGAAGATTACCTATGCATTAGACAGGCCAAAGAAGATGATTACCTATGCACTGGAGAGG